CATTCCATAAACTTATCAAAAAAGAAAGCATCTTGGGCACAACTAGCGCCTCAGAGGCGGAGCCAGTGTGCACAACGGCCACAGGAAGTATCATGGGAATCCAGAAAAACACAGCAAGGCAAGGGCCGAGTCATACATTTACCGCGAGCTGCATGGACAAGCACAAAAAAGAACAAAGCTCACACAAACACTCCAAGTGATCTCAAAACACCTCTGCTCCACAAGGGCTTGGGGTCGATTCCCCTCAAGAGGACACAGCAAAATTGCACACATCCGAGCTACCAGGCACACTACCCACGAGCAGAAAGCAAAACGACAAAAAGTTTGCCAGCCTGACGCACGCGAGATGAAAAGACACACAACACCTGGGATAAAACTACACAGTCTAATTTTACACACCAGAACATCAAGTCTCAAAGGAGACCATCAAAAATTGCCATGGCTGACTATATTTCAAGTCATCCTAGCAGGGTATTGGGTAAAGTTTTCAACCAGCAATGATCGCGCCTCGGATTAACCTCACAGGCTACGATATTGCCTCTGCGAAAGAATGACGGGCTTAGTCAGAAGTATGCATGCACACATTTGGTGCCGAAGGACTCAAGAACGGTAAACAATTAAGCAACATATGGTAATGAGATCATCTGGGTTTCGATACAACAAACTTCAACTGCACAAGTACATTCTGGGAATACAGCTGCAGGAAACCAAGCAATTCAAACATTAAGCATGCATAAACAACATTCCATAAACTTATCAAAAAAGAAAGCATCTTGGGCACAACTAGCGCCTCAGAGCAAGGCAAGGGCCGAGTCATACATTTACCGCGAGCTGCATGGACAAGCACAAAAAAGAACAAAGCTCACACAAACACTCCAAGTGATCTCAAAACACCTCTGCTCCACAAGGGCTTGGGGTCGATTCCCCTCAAGAGGACACAGCAAAATTGCACACATCCGAGCTACCGGGCACACTACCCACGAGCAGAAAGCAAAACGACAAAAAGTTTGCCAGCCAGAATATTGGTTATCATTCAGAACTGTGTTATTTGCAAGCAATTAAATCAAGTGACCAAGCTGCCTTTTATATTTCGTTAAACTTGTTGGTGTGTTTGTCTTTAAACAGATGACAGCTTTAAGGAGAAATTCCTTGCCCGTCATAACGAGTACAGGAAGAAACATGGGGTTCCTGATGTGACCTTAAGCAAAGAGCTCTGCAGCACTGCACAGAACTGGGCTGACCATTTACTGTCTATTAAAACCCTGCAGCACAGTGAGACTGAAAACGGAGAGAATGTGTTTTATTCCTGGAGCTCTACTCCAGCCAACCCCACAGGTAGGTTCACATTTCATATAATGAACATCTTTGAGCATTGATGATCTGTGAACATCATCTTGATTAATTTAAACATATTGTGTTGACAGTTTTAGAATGGTGATTTGTTTGTCCCAAACTAAGTATCGATAAATTGGTAACTTTACTGGGAAAAGAAAAGCATTCTTAGCTTAGAATGGAAGTTAATGGGAGAAGATTTTTGTTTAAGTGTTTCTGGGAGCATTTTTATGGGAGCATTTCTATTGGATCAAGCATTTTTAGACTAAAAAAAAGTGATAGTTTACTTATACTGAATATACATATTTCTGCACAATTTAATGCACAATTACTGTTTGTTTGCTGATTTGCAGAAAAATGGCACATTTAAATTAAGTTTACTTAGAAAATTAAAAAACAAAAATGTAGTATACAGGGTATACTTTTGCATTTTGCTGTGTATGTGTGTGCATATTATATATATATATATATATATATATATATATATATATATATATATATATTTCCTTCTCCCATTCCTTCTATCACATACATATATATGTATGTGTATATATATATATATATATATATATATATATATATATATATATATATATATATACACACACACACACACACACACACACACATATATTATAATTGTCAATTTGCCAGCAAAATCACTATATAACATCTGAATATACACACGATGATTAAAATTGTGTCATTTTTCTGTTGACATTCATTAGTTTGTATTGCCAAATTAATAGAAAATATTATAAAATAACATTTTGAAATGGATCTTCCTCATGTCCTCATGAGCTGCAGTAAATGGTAATTACAGTGCGCAGAATTAGAGGCAGATGTGCCTCCACTGTTTATAGCAGGGTGTGGTGATGCTTTTGACCACAAATTAAAGGAACTGCTGAGAAATTTGGAACAAGGCAGCTAAGCTTCTCTCGCAAACAAACTTTTCAGAACAAATTATTTTTTTGTACATAAATTTGGTTTTATGGGCTGAGACTGTCTCATAATTCCTCTGTTTCTATCATTAGGACCTGAGCCTGTGGAAAAGTGGTACAGTGAAATTAAAGACTATGATTTCAAAAAATCTGGATATCAGCCCAAGACAGGTAGTACTGATCTCTCAATTACATAATTATATTTCAGATGCTTAATAATAGAATTACTAAAAAACAATTTAGAATAGCCACTTTCTGTTCATTATGATTCTGATACAAGTTTATTGCTGAATGCACAAACAGAAGACATTTTGCTACACATACCACTGACACAATGTCATTTGCAGGACATTTCACTCAGGTTGTATGGAAAGCAACCAAAGAAGTTGGAGTGGGCTTGGCTACTGATGGAAACACTGTCTTTGTGGTTGGTCAGTACAAGCCTGCAGGAAACATAACCAATGCAGGACAGTATGAGGAGAATGTTCTTCCTCCAGGTAACTAATACAACACCAAAAACAATATAAGTTTATACAAGTAAAGAAAGTAATTTTTCATTGTAAGAATACACATTTGATAAAGAATGTGTTAATCTTCTTTGTATAGTTCTGCAAAGTATGCTATGGTTCTGTGTATTGTAATTAGTAAGAACTAACAGGATTTCTTTGTGTTTCTGTTTATTCAGCAGACAATTAAGAAGGCACCTGGGCTCCACAGATAAACACACAGACATGGATTTCTAATCAAGCAAAGCATTTGTAATTTACTGTAATACGCTAACTTCAGATTATTATTAGTCTATTATTAATGAATTGTTATTAAAATTACCATTTGATCATTCTCAGATTGTGGCATACGTAATCATTTGAATCATATTATGAGTGAAGTATATATTTTCTGTTATAAAAAAAACATACACATGTTATTTCTGCTATGCTTTATTGTAAATTACTGTAAACTTAGTAGAATGTTAAAAGACAAATAATATGATTATTTGTTAAACTGTTGTTCAGTGGATAAACTTGAGTGATTTATTGCAAATACATGAAACACAGTCTGTGTTTAATGTAAATCATGACACAATTTTGCATAAAAACAAACAAAGAATGTAAAGGCTTTAAAATGGCACACATCAGCTTAATACTCATTATCAATGTTTTATGATACAGAAAACGGACTAAAAAGTCATGAACTTTTGAAATGTGAACAAACAGGAATTTCAAACAGCAAAACGCTTGTTCTTGTTACAAAAATACAGAAGTTTATGAACCGTTTCTGTTTCAATCATTTAAGTATCTACAAACCATCTAAAGTGGACTATCCAAATAAAGCGGTACCATGAAAATCTCTTTGTACAAGATACCCACTGGAACCATAATTAAGTTAAATAAGACAGCTTTGTCTGCTTTCCAGTGGGCAACACCATTTTTGACATTTCATAGTATATTCAGTATATAACAACTTTGTTATTGTTTGTTAATTTCTCTCTACGTTGGCTTTGGTCAATTTATACTGACAGATAGGTCTATCCATATCATACCATGCTACTAAGTCGAACAGTGAAGGCAAAGACTGTACAAGAGAAAGTAATGGTGCATGCCTAGTCAAGCCAACAGCCAAAAAAAAAATATCAGTTATCCACTTCACCCCTCCTCTGTCTCCTGGGGGAAACAGCAGCCTGTACAGTCAGTGCCATCAGCCAACTGAACAGACCCCAAAAAAAACGACTGTGTCTTTGAAATCAAAAAGAGTTTTGGCGCAAAACAGTCACAACACTCAAACAACCAGCAAATGGTCACAGTCAATGCTGTAATTACCAGAGGAAAGCATGCATAAACA